AAGCAAAGAAAGTTTCAGTGGGGTGATGAGCAAGAGAAGAGTTTCATCCTCATTAGGCACAAGCTGTGCACCTCCTCAGTCCTAGCCCTTTCTAACTTTGAGAAGGTATTCGAGATCAAATGTGAAGCAAGTGGGGTGGGAATAGGTGCAATTTTGTCTCAAGAAGAAACCAATGGCTTTTTTCAGTGAGAAACTTAGTGAAGCTTGCCAAAAATGGAGGTACTTACGAGCAAGAATTTTGTGCAGTGGTTCGTGCTTTGAAACAGTAGGAGCACTACTTGGTGCAACGAGAATTTGTATTATATACAGATCACCAGGCCCTGAAGTTCCTCAACAGTCAGAAATCCGTGAGCAAGATGCATATAAGGTGGAGTACCTTCTTGTAGAAATTCCCTTTTGTGATTAAGCATAAATCAGGTACCCTTAATCGTGTGGCAGGTGCTTTGAGTCGAAGAACAAACATGCTAGTTACCATCGCTCAAGAGGTTGTGGGATTTGAGTTCTTTGAAAGAGTTGTATGAAGTCGATGAAGACTTTAAGGAGATTTGGTCTAAGTGTGTTCACAACCAACCTGTTACAGATTTTCACCTCAATGATGGTTATTTGTTTAAGGGCAACAGACTTTGTATTCCTGAGACATCCTTGAGGGAGAAGCTAATTCAAGATTTACATGGAGGTGGCCTGAGTGGACACTTGGGAAGAGACAAAACAATTGCTGGCAGGACCTTTTCATGGACTTCGTGTTGGGACTCCCCCGTACACAAAGGGGAGTAGATTCTGTTTTTGTTGTTGTTGACAGGTTCTCCAAGATGGCGCACTTTATCGCGTGCAAGAAGACGAATGATGTTGCTAGCATAGCCAAATTGTTTTTCAGGGAGGTTGTTCGTTTGCATGGCGTGCCCAAATCCATCACCTCTGATCGTGACACCAAGTTCCTCAATCACTTTTGGGTTACTTTATGGAAGATGTTTGGAACCGCCCTTAATCGCAGTAGTACCGCACATCCCCAAATTGATGGCCAGACAAAAGTTACTAACAGAACTTTGGGTAACATAATTCGTAGCATTTGTGGAGACAAACCTAAACAGTGGGATAATGCACTGCCTCAAGTGGAGTTTTCTTATAAAGCGTTGTTCACAGTGTCACAGGAAAATCACCTTTCGCTTTGGTTTACACTTCGGTTCCTAACCATACCCAAGGCCCATGGTGTAAGTACCGCAGCTGAGCGTATGGCAGAAGACGTCCAGGCTGTGAATAATGAGGTCAAGGAGAGGTTGGAGAAAACCAATGCTAAATACAAAGCCGCCGGAGACAAACATGGATGAGTCAAGGTGTTCAATGAAGGCGACTCCGTCATGGTTTATCTAAAGAATGAGAGGTTTCTAGTGGGTACTTATTGCAAGTTACAGCCCCGCAAATATGGTCCCTATAAGATTCTAAAGAAGATCAATGACAATGAATATGTTGTGGACTTGCCCCCATCCATGGAGATTTCAAGCACTTTCAATGTTGCCGACCTGTATGCATCCTACGAAGATGATCTGCTTTATCCTAAATATAACTCGGGGTCGAGTTCTTTCGAAGTGGAAGGGATTGATGTAGAACATATGGCCGAGTTGATCGAGGAACAGCTGGACAGACGCGCACGTCGTCGCGCTAGCAAAGCCCAATCTGTGCAAGTATGGGCCCTGAGCTAAGAATCGAGCCCATGACGTATCTTTTCGAAGAGAACAGCGTGAAAAATACAACACACTGCTTTGCTGTGATGTATGGGCTATTTTAGCCAAATTCTATTGTTTACTTTAACTTTTCAGCATTTAAAGTTAATATTTTGGGAAACTTTTATTATTTTCCTTTTTGTTTTCTAATTAGCTTTCTTAGCAAGTCTAGGGTTTCTCAGTAGTTTTCCAAGCAAGTCGAGGGTTTCTCTTGTATAAAAGGAATGCATTGGAGCATCCTGAGTTTATTCATCATATTTTCAATCAATATATTTGAGGTTTACTCAATTTCTCTGGTGGATTCCAGTTTGTTGGTGGATTTCGACATTGTTACTTGTAGGGTTATCGTTCGATCTCCCTATCCCTTATATCTTGTTGCGTCATATAGACAGGCTTAAGGTTTCAATTTTGAATAGAAAATAATGTTGTAGTTGTTCTTAAGGTTTAGTTTATCCTTAATTAAAACATTTTGAAAAACAGGTTTTGATCTTCTAGAGTCTTTCTTTGTGCTTCCGTCAACACTACTCCTGCTTCTGGTTATGATGAAATTAGAAAGAGTTTACAGATTTTCAGAAAATGATGAAAGCTTCAAGATCATCAATGGTGGAAGTCTTCTTCTCCACTTTTCTTGACTGCACCTTGGCTTTCTCTTAGCTCCAAGCTCCAAAATCTGCTCTCAATTGTGTAGAATGGTGGAATACCCTCTCTCCCGTTGCAAAAACTCCCCCAAATCTGATTGCAATCCCTTTTGACTTCTGCCCCTTCTTTCCAGCTCACTTTTAATATAACACTTATTCTTTCTCTAAAGCTTTTGCCCATTGTCCCCTTGCAAATGATGAAGCCTTGTTTTAAGGTATAATCCAAGGCTCCAATTGACTCAGGAAATGCCACTCAAATGCAATCCATTGTTACCAAAAGGTGTGGTAACAAGTAGAAATAAAATGCTATTAAGTGGGGGTGAAAACTGGGCCAAAACAAACATCCAGAGCCAGCGTCAATTGTCCGATCAGCTGGATAGGCTACACTTGCCCAATGGAGCTCAAATTTGGATATGTTGTAGTTAACATCCATTGGAACAAGTCCTATGAAGATCATCACCTCATCCAAGGACCGGAACATGCTGATCCAAGGCCACGAAGTTGACCTACGAAAATGAACAAAAACAGAATTTATATCAAATAATGCACTTTTAGCTCATTTTCATACAAACCAAGGTAAAACCTATTAAAACACAAAAAAGAAGTAAAAAGCTATAAAATGTCAAGAACTAACTCAAAATAGTGGGTGAATAACATGAAAAATCATGTGTAAAAATGAACCGAACAACCATCAAAGCGTGGGATTGATGGCTGCACGTAATTGTCTTGAACCTTGTCGGATGCCATCAGTCCTTGGGGTTCTCATTTCAAAATGAGCTGCACTTAATAACTATTCTGTCCTAAATAATCTCTTAAAAGTGGGTTGGAAATCTCACTAACTAAAATCACTACTCTTTTGATCTCGAGTTTGAACATGAACCACCTTAATGCCCAAGAAGTGGATAGAGTATTCCTATACTCACATAAATATGAAAACACCACAAATCAAAGGAGAGCTGAGACAAAAATGGAAAGAAGAAAGACATTTACGACTTTATTTCTTTGGAAAACTCTTCAATCTGATCTAATCCCGACCCAAAAATGCCCATGAGAATGTACAATATCCAGAACTTGTTACAATTTGATTCTGTATTATATTCCACCACATCATCATCGAATAGGGTTCTTTGGGTCCACCTTTATTGTTTGAAATGATTTAAACCATTCAAATCAATTTAGAGTCACTTCAATTTGAGCTTTGTAACAAAAATTAAAAATCATCAGTGGTGTAGGAATTTGGGATATCTTCTAACTTTAGTAAGAGAGGTACCACTAGATAAAGTCTATTGATATTTTACCAACTATAGCTCTTTTAGTTTAGTGATATTTTACTTTTCAATATTTTTTTGATTAAAAAAATGATAGAATTTTATTAGATCAATAAGAATAAAGAGTACGAAGGACGTAGACTATAAAGGAAGCCATCCCAATATCAATTTGGCAACCATGGATAAAACTTCCCAGTGACCTGAGCCAGCCGAAAAGCTGAAACAATTTGGAGAGAATCACACTCGAAAAAAACTTTTCTAAAACCCCTTTCAACTGCCATAATTTCCTCGAATCTAGTTCAATGACATCAAAGACAAAAACTAGTCGCTAACCAACATGACTTTCTTAAAGAGACTAAGAACACCCAACAAATTCAACTAAGTTTCTGGAATCATGAGAGAAAAAATACATAAAACTCATAGAGTTTCTGGACTTTATTGAACAAACTAAACCAAAATAATACAAAAAACTAAAACAACATCGGCAAAAAGAAAACCAACTGCGCCACTAATCTTCCTTCAGTGATGACATAGAGAGCGCCACATAGTTACTTCAGGGCCTCAACGCACCAATGAGCAGTGGATCTAGCATGATCAAGCCGCAACACCTCAAAGAGCAGTCTCACAAGATCACAACCAAAGCCAACCCAGATATGAGACAATAGATACGCCAAAAAAAGAGTAGATCGACATAGGTCCACAAAAAGTTGAAGAACACCGAAGATCCAATGAGATCCTGAAGCGTTCTCTCTCTTTTTCTTTCTCTCTCTCTTAGTGGCTAGGGTTTTCAGAACATATTTTACTTTTCAATGTTGAAAATACTTTTCAAGTGTATTGATATTTTACCAACTATAGCTCTTTTAGTTTAGTTGATGATTTATTTTGGATAAAAATTCATGGTATAACATCAATCAGGATAGGAAAAGATGGAATATGATAAATAAAGAATGAGAATCACATCCCATTCCTTGGGGTATGTTTTGATTAAAGATTTTTAGATGAATCTATACATATTAAATAATTCCGTATGTGAAATAAACGCAAGAGAAGACATGCACCATCGATTATTTATTTGAGAACTCTGAAGATTGAAATAATCCGGCTGCCGGCAACATTTGAGTGTGCCAATCAACACTTTATCAACTTAAAGACTTGGACCCATGAACACATGGCCTCTTTGGAGTGTAAACTTTTACCCACGAAGTCCCTTTAACTTTTTTTTTGTCTTTTAAATTCCCATAACTAACCGCTCGATTAATAACAAAGTTATCCTTAATCCAATCCTTATTATTCTCGACATCTAGCAGCATCACTTTCTTTATTAAACTTCCTTCCACCTCTCTCTCTCTCTCTCTCTCTCTCTACCCCCTAAACCTTCTCTCTCATTGAGCCTCACACTATATATAAACATGATAAGCCAAGCCAAACTCTCCCCCACTATCCTTTCTTTCTCTCTATGTTATTATATCAAGCCCTTCTTCCCTTCTCTGCTATAATTAATCTGCCTCTTGTCTTTTAATGGATACTTTAAAAAAGTTCCTTCAAGTTCTTTTACTTGCTTGTTGTTGTGTTTTTGTGATAAAAAACGACGCCGTCGAAGCATCACACAACGTTTACCCCGAGTTTCAGTCTCTTGCTGCCGTCAAGGTCAACCAAGTCCACAGAACTGCGTTTCACTTTCAACCTCCAAGCAACTGGATTAACGGTTGGTACTACTTTGTTTAAGATGATGATGATCTTCAAGTTTGGTTTTTGTTTCTTTCATCTGCACAATATTGCATGTTATATTACTTCCTTAATTACACGGTTACTTATTATGAACATCGAGCCAAGCAAGCACTTTCCGAAAAAGAAGTAACCAAGCAAGCATGCGATTATGGAGAGACGTTTACAGGCATTAATCTTTTGCCATAATGTTTAAGCTCTCTAGGCTTTTATTTTTCCCTTCTTTTTTGGTAGCTAGAAAACTTATAGGTTCTCATATCTTTTTTTTTCTTCCTAATGCTAACCAAAAGTGGAATTACCTAATTGAAGAAAAATAAAAGGGTGTGTATTGTTTTGCTCGGAACATTTTGTTGTTGTTATTTTGCTCAATATGGATGCCATTATCAGAGTATCTGAATTTAAGTGCTTTAACCCTTTTTTAAAATCTAGTTTAAGAAAAAAATGAGCCTATTTTTATGTACTAAGAGCACTAGTTCGACACATTAACCATCCACTAGATCGATGACTTTATTTACTTCGATTTTAAATTTCTTTCTTTTGCGATTTTAATACTTGTTATTTGCATTCTGAAAAAGTCATTATATATGTATTCAATGAAATGTAATCTTTTCATGCATAATGACTTTTTCAGAGTGTCGTTATAATTAGGAATTAGACATTGGTACCTGTATTTCTATTTTAGTTGGGTTAATCTTTTGGGTGTTCATTGAATTTTTGATTTGTTGCTACCAACTTATTTGCACTTTACAGACGTACATATTTAATTAGTAAATATGGATGGATATCAATGATTCCATTTAAATGTTGCGGTGCATGGACCACCATCTTTGCATGCCTAGCTACCCTAGTGGTTCTTGAATGGTCCTCACAAAATCAACATCCTAGTCATTTATCTGTGAGACCATGTCACATTTTCATTATAGCTTTACTTTTTAGTAACCTACAGTTGAAATAAAAATAAAAATAAAAATAAATGGGTGGGGGTGGTTTTTTTTCTTTCGGCCATTGATTATTGTGTCCTGGAAAATAGCTAGTTTTGGTCAGTTTTGATCATATAGGCTTCATGTGGTTTTTGAAGACTTCTGGTTTTGGTGTCATATCATTCTGTAAATTTCACCTGATGTATGTTCCAGATCTGCCTCAGTCAAAACTCATTATGGTTATTCTTTCTAAAGTTATGAAAATCGACAGTTAAATCATCACAGCATAGTAAAATATAAAATTATATTACGGATCTTTTTATTTTTATGTTTATATAAGTAATATTGGGGAAGAGAGATTATCTACACACTGCCACGGTGATCAAGGCCCTTTCCACTAGGTTAGACTCGTTGGCAAATAATGAATGACCTTTCTATGTTTACAGAACAAGTGTTATATTCATTCCTAAATCCTCTTCTAGTTACTAGAGTCACTGACTTTTTTTTTGTTGTACTTTGTCCTTTCAATGGTGGCCCATGAACCAATCAACCACAGACCCAAATGGTGAGTCTTTCTTTCCCAACGTTGAGATTTTGCAACCCTTTATTTCAATTACCAATTATAGTCTAAATTAATTCCTTAATCACTCTCTTAATTTACTATTTTCTGAATGCAAACAGGACCTATGTACTTTGGTGGTCTGTACCACTTGTTCTATCAGTACAATCCCAAAGGTGCGGTTTGGGGCAACATTGTTTGGGCCCATTCAGTGTCCAAGGATCTGATCAATTGGGAAGCCCTTGAGCCTGCAATATACCCATCCAAGCCCTTTGACGTAAATGGATGTTGGTCCGGGTCCGCCACTATTCTCCCCGGCAACAAGCCCATTATCCTCTACACTGGAATCGACCCCCAAAACCGCCAGGTCCAAAACTACGCCATCCCGGCAAACTCATCCGACCCGTACCTCCGTGAATGGATGAAGCCCGATAACAACCCGCTAGTGGTCCCGGATGCGGGTATGAACGCAACCGCATTCCGTGACCCAACAACGGCTTGGTGGGTCGATGGGCATTGGAAGATGTTGGTGGGTGGCAAAAGGAAGCACCGAGGGGTGGCCCATTTGTATAGGAGCAAGGATTTCATGCATTGGGTCAAGGCCCATCACCCACTTCACTCGGCTCCCCATACGGGAATGTGGGAGTGCCCGGATTTTTACCCCGTTCCATTGGTTGGCAAATTCGGGTTGGACACATCAAAGGTTGGTGTGGATGTGAAGCATGTTCTGAAAGTGAGCCTTGATGAGACTAGGTACGATTATTATACACTTGGGAAATATTTTACAGAGAAAGATAGGTATGTTCCTGATAAAGCCTTGGTGGATGGTTGGTCTGGGTTGAGATATGACTATGGCAACTTTTATGCATCCAAGAGTTTCTTTGATCCTGCAAAGAGTAGAAGAATTTTGTTGGGGTGGGCTAATGAGTCTGATACATCTCACGAAGATGTTGCTAAGGGATGGGCCGGAATTCAGGTAATAACTGTACAGGATTATTTGTACTGATTACATTGCTGATCACATTTCTAATAACAATTAGTACTGTGATTAGTTTGTTGATTTTGGGGTATTAATTCCACAGACAATACCGAGGGTGGTGTGGCTCAGTCCAGATGGGAAACAATTGTTGCAATGGCCTATTGAAGAAGTAGAAACTCTAAGAGGGCAAAAGGTCGAGTTGAGCATTCAAAAGCTCAAACTAGGAGATTATGTTGAAGTTAAAGGAATAACTGCGGCTCAGGTTTGACCCTCTCAACATGGATGCATGTTGCAATACAAATTAACTTTTCTGAACTGAATTATTTTGTGAATTATTGATTTGCATTAACTTATGTTGTTGGACTTGGACCACACAGGCCGATGTTGATGTTCTCTTCACAATCCCTAGCTTGGACAAAGCCGAAGAATTTGACCCTAGCTGGACCAGCCTCGATGCCCAAAGACTTTGTGGCCTAAAGGGTTCAAAAATTCAAGGTGGCCTTGGGCCTTTTGGACTTTTGACATTAGCATCACAAAACCTAGAGGAATTCACTCCTGTTTTCTTCAGGATTTTTAAAGCTCAAGGCAGCAGGCACCTAGTTCTCATGTGCTCTGATGCAACAAGGTACGTAATTTAATTACCTTAATTACTGTACTTACCATGTAATTAACTCTTGCCATTTGTATTTTCCATTTTGTTTGGGACAGTTCGTCTCTGCAGAACAACCTGTACAAACCATCATTTGCTGGCTTTGTGGATGTAGATTTGACTTCTTACAAGAAGCTTTCCCTCAGGAGTTTGGTGCGTTTTTTTTAAACCCTTTTTAAACTCAATTAATATTTGCAATTATATAAATTCTAATTAGTTAATTACTGATAATTAATTTGCTTTTTTTGTTTTGTTTTTGAAAACTACAGATTGATCATTCTGTTGTTGAAAGTTTTGGACCTGGGGCAAAAACATGCATCACATCTAGGGTTTATCCAACTCTAGCAGTTAACAAGGAAGCTCACTTGTTTGTGTTCAACAATGGGACTGAGACTATTACTGTAGAGAGCCTCACTGCATGGAGTATGAATGCTCCTCAACAGATGAACGCATAGGTTTAGGGTCTAGAAGAAGATGATGTAGAATAATGTAAAATTATGCTTGTTTAAATAATTTAGCCTGAGAGCTAGGAAATAAGGATCTATGTACCATAACATGGCGTTGTTGGTGGTTGTAGACAGCAAAAAATAATTATATCTATTATTAAGTTTAATTAGCATCTACATATTCTAATTATATGAAGAGTTGATACTTTTATTTTGTTAAAACTTTGCTTACTTTTCAACTTTTTTGTTTATATTACCTTTCATTGGTTGGACAACTGTCCATTTTCAATTGGTCACATATTGATTTCAGAAGGAATTCCTCATCTTTTTTTTCAGGAGCCAAGCCAAGTATTATTCAATACGTATATACATCTAAAAATTGTAAAGAAAGTAAGAGAAGCCATTAATTCAATTATAAACAAAAACATCCAAATTATTCATAATACTAGTGCATTAGGAAAGGCAATCCAGATGGCACCAACAATTGTACCAAAAGAAAAAAGATAAGCAAGGTACGTAGCGGATGGTCTAACCATTCAATTAATAAACTGAAAATGATTATAAAAAAAAGGCCTTCACACAAGATAAAATATTAAAATGATCCAGTCCCTTCAAAATTGGACAAATCGATCTAGTCACTATCTGACAGTGACATGAAGTAACCAGGGACGGACCCAGGATTTCAAAATGGCGTGGGCTAAATTTACTTTACATACAAACCTATTGAAAACTCAACGGTATGAGTAAATTTCATTGATAACAAAAAAATACACAGGGTGGACATAATGAGCCCTAAAATTTCATCGATACTTCATAAACCCTAAATAATCCCCAAAATTTCAATAGAAAAGAATATGAAGAATGGAAGATTACTTTAGTTTGCTTTAATTAAGTCTAAGAACATGCATAATTTACCTTAGTTTGCTTTAATTAAGTCTGAGGACATGCATAATTTTCCTTTTTGTCAAAGAGCAGGAGTTAGCCACTAGCGGATGGGCTGCTATTGCGCAAGAGATAGAGGGAATTCTTTTATTTATTTATTTATTTTGGTAAAGGAGAGAGGGAATGTCTATGCCTAGTGTAGTGATTTTGGAATAGATGAGCAAAGTAGCGGGATTAGTTAATAACTGTGGGGTTTAGTTCTTTTTATTTGTTTGTTGGTAAACCTAGTCATAGTGTGATTAGTTAATAATATTTTATTTGGGTGGTCAGTCTAGTCCTAGTGGGATTAATTAATAATATTTTATTTGGATGACCTAGGCTAGAGTATTAATTTAGTCTTAGAAAAAAAAACAAAAGAACAAGTTGCCTAGGCTTTAGCCTAGGTTAGCATGCTAGTGGGTACGTCCCTGAAAATAACTTTCATGTCACTGTCAGATAGTGACCCGAGAGTTATTCAATGTCACTCTCAGTGAGTGACATAAGAGTTATTTCATGTCACTGTCGGACAATGACTAGACCGGCTTATCCAATTTTTGAGGGGCTAGATCATTTTATCTTGGTGCCCCTCCTATTTGTCCTTATATGATAAAGGACAATTAATAAATCATTTTAAGTTGTCCAATCATCATTAGAAAAAGAAAAAGAGACTACCAAAATGTCAAAATATTCCTAACAAAAAAATAACCCAATTAATAATCCAAATTTCCCCCCTTCTTGAAAGGAACTTGAAGGAGATACGTAGATGGCTAGGTGGTCAGGCGTCATAAGTCAGGTTGTTGAATTTCCATTAATATGTGATAGGAGACTGAATCCAAACCTAATCCTTATTATTCTCCACATTAACAAGCAAATACCATAAATATTTTTGGATGTAAATTTTAAAACCTCAATCTTAAATTAATTTGGACCTCTCGCTTTACCCTTATGGATCGCCACTACCAGTACCACCTTGTCTCTCGCTGAGTCTCCAGCGCTATATATAGATATCTCAACCCCTATTTATCCCATAATTTATCCTCTTCTTTCTTCACTGCATCTGCAGGTTGTAAATATGGATTTCGTAAGAAAGCTAGTTCCCGTTTTTTTATTTGTTTCGTGTGTTTTGTTGGTCACAATTAACGACAACGGAGTAGAAGCGTCGCATAGGATATACTCTAGGCTTCAAAGTGTTCCTGCCGGTGAGGTGAAGCAACTCCACAGAACTGCCTACCATTTTCAACCTCCACAGCACTGGATTAACGGTATTGTCTTATAAAACATTCTGATTAGTGTTATCTAACGGTTCATAAATTGTAAATAAAAACCTGCCACATGCATGCAATATATTTCCCAGCACAACTTTTTTTTGGGGGGTATAAGAAAGAATTAAGAGTTTGGTATATTTCACATTCATTTAATTAAGGAAAATATATTTGAAAAGAAAATTGATGTCCATAGGTTGCCTTTTTTTGAGTAATTTTTGTATGTTACGACTAGTGTACTATTCAATACATATGGGACAGTGGAAATATTCTTCAAAATTAATCGTATTTCCACACATGTTCTATGAACATACACAAATTTCTCTTTTTCTCGGGGTTGAGATGCATTTATGCGTAATTATTGCATGTGAGATTCGTTAATTTGCTTGCTTCGTCCCTAACATCTTTACTGTGATCACGAACAATATTAATTCAAGCAATTGGTGTTTTAAAGTTCTTCATTCATAAATTACTTCACTCACTGACTCTTGTTTTGCTTTCGGATATTTCCATGGCGGCTGATAATCCAATCATCGACAGACCCAAATGGTGAGTAATCTTTGGCAATTAACAATATCATTAAACTTCTCATTGTAGATTTAAATTAATCCCTAAATCAATAGCTGTTAATTGGATCTCCTTAATTAATTTTTGACTGCAAATTGCACAGCACCCATGTTTTTCAATGGTCTCTACCACCTTTTCTACCAATACAATCCCAAAGGTTCAGTGTGGGGAAACATTGTGTGGGCCCACTCAATCTCCAAAGACCTCATCAACTGGGAAGCTCTACCCCACGCCATCTTCCCCTCCAAACCCTTCGACGTAAACGGTACTTGGTCCGGCTCCGCCACCATCCTCCCCGGTAACCGCCCCGTCATCCTCTACACCGGCCTCGACAACGACAAGCGACAGATCCAAAACTACGCCGTTCCGGCCAACATATCTGACCCTTACCTCCGGGAATGGCTCAAGCCGGACGACAACCCCCTCGTCCTCCCTAGCTCAGACATGAACGCCAGCCAATTCCGTGACCCCACGACTGCATGGTGGCACGGCGGCCATTGGAGAATGCTGGTGGGTGGCAAGAGAAAGCACAGAGGGATGGCGTGGCTTTATCGGAGCATTAACTTCAACCACTGGGTCAAGGCCAAGCACGCTCTCCACTCTGCCCCCCAAACTGGCATGTGGGAGTGCCCCGATTTTTTCCCTGTTTCGTTGCATGGGAAGAATGGAGTGGACACATCAAAAGTTGGTGAGGACGTGAAGCATGTGTTCAAAGTGAGCCTTGATGAGACTCGCTATGACTATTACACAGTCGGGAAATATGATCATGAGGGTGATATCTATTTGCCAGATAACACTTCGGTTGATGGTAGGGCTGGGTTGAGATTCGATTATGGGAATTTTTATGCTTCCAAGACTTTCTTTGATCCTTCAAAGAATAGGAGGATCCTGTGGGGTTGGGCTAATGAGTCTGATACAGCAGACGATGATACAGCCAAGGGATGGGCTGGAATTCAGGTATGGTTTCTAGGCCTATTTCTTTTCCCTTTAATTAGTTTGATAAAGATCGCACTTTTGAACCCGTGAGTCGTACTTTTAGACAGATGGTATACAAGATGATCAATTTAGATCGCTCTTTAGAATTGTTGTTTTCTCTTTGAAGAAATACTATATTTATGAACCATTGTAGACAACATTACTATATATTGCAGGCAATTCCAAGGGAGGTGTGGCTGAGCCCTGACGGGAAACAAGTGCTCCAATGGCCTGTTGCAGAATTAGAAACTTTGAGGGGACAAAAGGTCGACTTGAAAAGTATTCAAAATATGACACCGGGAAAACTTGTTGAAGTTAAAGGAATAACCGCTGCTCAGGCTGACGTTGATGTTACATTCTCGTTGGCGAGCTTGGAAAAAGCTGAGGAGTTTGACCCTAACTGGGAAAAGCTTGACGCCGAATCAGTTTGTGCCATAAAGCGTTCACATGTCCAAGGGGTCGTCGGTCCATTTGGGCTCGCGACGTTGGCTTCACAAAACCTAGAGGAGTTCACTCCTGTCTTCTTTAGGGTTTTTAAAACTAAAGACAATAAGCATAAGGTTCTCATGTGCTCTGATGCAAAAGGGTTTGTCTCTGTCCTCCTAAACCCTTAACTATTATCTCAACTTTTCTTTATTGTTATTCTTTAAAAAAAAATAAAAAATTAACCCTGAATTTAATTGGATGGAGCAGTTCAACTTTGAGGCCGTTTGACATCAAACAGTACAGACCATCATTTGCTGGCTATGTAGATATAGATTTAGCTGCTGAGAAGAAGATTTCTCTAAGGAGTTTGGTACGAATTACCTTTAACCCTTTCTTTTTCTCAGTTTAATTGTAACTCATTTTTATAAGTAAAAAAGTTATTCAAGAACTTATAACTAGTATCCTTCTTTTTTTCTTTCTAATTGCAGATTGATCATTCCGTTGTCGAAAGTTTCGCAGCTGGAGGAAAAACATGCATCTTGTCCAGGGTTTATCCCACATTAGCTGTCAACGATGCTGCTCACTTGTTTGTGTTCAACAATGGGACTGAGCCTGTTTCTGTACAGACCCTCAGCGCCTGGAGCATGAGTCCTCCTAAGCTAATGAACCAAAATTTAAACTTCTGAGCAGAGAATAGACATGATGTAATCAGGCATGTTATCGTAATCTGGGGACACAAATTAGGTTATTTCCCACTCATTAGGCAAACACGGGCTTAGTCTTATAGGTGTTTTTTGGATTGTACTTGGAAGGTCCTCCTTGGCTTTCCTCACCATATATATAGGATGTGATGTTTGAATCCCATTTTGATTGAATAAATACATTTCTTCTCTTATCTTAAAGATCAAATACTGTCTTTTCTTTTCTTTTGGGGATGCAATTTCTGATTCATCGGTGGGCAATCCACCCACGTCGTTTTTTTTTCTCTTACCGATTGATGACTCATTTCGCTTGAATGCTAGGTTTTACCAAATTTGTATAGGCCAATGATTCATCGGTGGGCAATCCACCCACGTCGTTTTTTTTTCTCTTACCGATTGATGACTCATTTCGCTTGAATGCTAGGTTTTTACCAAATTTGTATAGGCCAAAACCCAAGGCTTAGAAACCTAGATTTGAGCTCTAAATGTAGAATTCTAAACTCTAAGCACTGGTCGTGTTGTAAATGAGATATTTTTTAAAAACGGAAAATGGGTTTTAAAAAATGGTGGTCCATTGAAGCATCGTAATTGCTTCAAGTAGTTGAAACCAGCATGCCGATTGATCATGGAGGCACAAGTAGTCAAGTCTGGCAATGAAAATTGTGGCCCTTTTGGCCATGTTTCTATCAGTGGATATATTCATGAATCCGAAAGTTGAAAAATCTGAATGTGTCCAGGCATAAAATGATTAAAAAGTCCTTTACACAATTTGCAATGTTAAATAAGTTCAAGACGTTTTAAATTGCTTCTTCTGGTCCACTGAAAAAAATGTGAGAAATTTAATATTATTTTATTTAATATTAAAATTTCTATTTGAATGTAAATTAATAAAACCCATTGGGTTAAAGACATAACCCTTGGGTTATTATAATGGCCAATCTTCAATTGGGGGGTGGCAACTCTTCATATATATGTGTCTGGAAACCCTATTAGAGACCTAGGGATGCATTGTTTGCCTTTTCAGATTTGGATACCTTTTTGGAAAGGGTATTTCATCATCTATAAATAAAACAATCCTCTTGCAGTTTTATCATTCAATTAATTCTCTACATACAGACTTCCATCTATAGAGAGCATTAGAGTTTTCATATTCAGAAAGAGAGGTTCCTGCATAATTTGGTTTAAAGTTCCTTGTGAATTGCAGTGCTTCTTTCACAATGAGGGGAGTCATTGTATCTTGAGAAGCAAACGCTAGTGAACCATAAGCACCAGTGTGGGGTGTAATTTGTCTTAAGGTCAGAGTGTCCAACACTCATATCGACTCAATTTAGGTTCTTCTAATTCAATTCTCCTTTTGTAAAAATCTGTCCTGTTTGCAATATTTATTTGTTTATTTTATAGCAATTTCGCACTCTTATTTCCTACAAATATATATATATATATGCAAAATAGGATTGGCTTGTTCAATGTGTGACACCAGAGTTATTCAATGTCACTGTCAGAGTAACTGGACCGGCTTGTTCAATTTGGAGATGCTGGACCATTTTATCTTCATGCCCTTCTATTTATCCTTATATGGCAAAGCCCCTTACTTTTTCTTTTTGTATCAAATAGATAAAAGGCAATGGGGAACATTAAGGCACAAAACAATTATGTTACCTCACGATTGGAATAAATATTTCTTCCAAGCGTATATATCAATTCTCTTGTAAGTGCATAAAGAATTTATCCTAGTGTGCCTGATAACACTCATCCCATATCCAAGGGTCAAAATCATAACTCCATAAGCCCTATAAAAAATGATTCTATACCCTAAAATAATCCGCTACAAAAGGTATGGATATCATATGTAAATCCAATCCCACCGATAAACCGAAGTTTATATGAAGTACTGTTAAGCTTACAGATAAGAACTGAAACAGAAAACAAATGTCCAAAAAATCTACACAAGCTTTCTATAGATAATAAGGTTGTTTGTGTTTCAAACATATCCTGTCGTAATCCTTAACGAAAAAACAAACATCCAGGATCCAGCTCTAATCCAATAAGGAAAACAACTCCAAATACTCATATATATATATCCTCATGCAACCGTCCTGATTGGTTTTTCTTGTTTTTCTAGTGCTATATATAGATAAGCCAAGGCCTATTTATCCCAAAGTAATTCCCCATTTTTTTCAATCTAGTTCCTTCCCCTTGATACATTCTCTGCAGGCTCCAATGGATACTATGTTCAATAAAAAGTTGGCTCTGGTTTTCGTCTTTGCTGCTTCTGTTTTTCTGGTCATGAACAACAATGGAGTTGAGGCCTCACACAACATATACTCCAGGCTTCAGAATGCTGCTGCCGTTGAGGTGAAGCAACTCCATAGAACTGGGTATCACTTTCAGCCTCCAAAGCACTGGATTAATGGTAAGTACGATACGAATACGAACTGTGTTTTATACAAATTCTATCATCCCTTTAACCATTGATTATTAATATTACACTCACTGACTTTAATCTTGTGTTTTTTTTCCATGCCGGCCAATATTCTGATAACTATCAACAGACCCAAATGGTGAGTACTCTTTTCCAACATTAAAGACTTTTTGCCACTCTTTTTTTATCTTTTCCAAAATCTAGAAATATAACACTCAAATTAATTTCTCTTTTGCAAATTTACAGCACCCATGTACTTCAATGGTATCTACCACTTGTTCTACCAGTACAACCCCAAAGGTGCAGTGTGGGGCAACATTGTGTGGGCACACTCAGTATCTAAAGATCTCATCAACTGGGAAGCCCTCCCCCCAGCCATATTCCCTTCCAAACCCTTTGACATAAACGGCACCTGGTCTGGCTCCGCCACCATTCTCCCAGGCAACAAACCCATTATCCTCTACACAGGACTCGACGCGGACAAGCGTCAGATCCAAAACTACGCCATTCCAGCCAATTACTCCGACCCGTACCTTCGCGAATGGATCAAACCCGATGACAACCCCATAGTAGTCCCTAGCCAGGAGATGAACTCGAGCCAATTTCGTGACCCAACAACTGCATGGTGGCATAATGGTCATTGGAGGATCTTGGTGGGTGGCAAGAGAAAGCATAGAGGGATGGCTTGGTTGTATAGAAGTATTGATTTCAAGTACTGGGTGAAGGCCAAGCACCCTCTTCACTCTGCTCCCGAAACTGGCATGTGGGAGTGCCCCGACTTTTTTCCTTTGGCGTTGAATGGGAGGAGTGGAGTGGACACATCAAAAGTTGGTGAGGATGTGAAACATATTTTGAAAGTGAGCCTTGATGAGACTAGGTATGAGTACTATACACTTGGAAAATATTTTCCCGCGAAAGATAGGTACGTGCCTGATAATACTTCGGTGGATGGTCGAGCTGGGTTGCGATTGGATTATGGAAACTTTTATGCTTCCAAGACTTTCTTTGATCCTTCAAAGAATAGGAGGATTTTGTGGGGTTGGGCTAACGAGTCAGATGCTGCTGACGATGATAAAGCTAAGGGATGGGCTGGAGTTCAGGTACATGATTGCTAACTTCTTTTTTTGTATTTTTTTTTTTCATTCAGATTAGAGCAAGTCCATCGCTCTACACAAACCCGGGCAATAGGCCCCCCAAGCCAAGGTTTGGCCCTCCAGCGCGTAGCCTCAAGCTCGGGCAAGGCATGGGACCCACCAGCCTGGGCAAGCCCACGGGCAAATCCTTCTTGGGCTCAAGCCCGAAGGCGCTGACGTCAACGCCGATGTCACGCTGACGTCAGCAAGCAAAACAAAAAAATTATAGATGTTTTCCCTATAAATACATAACAATTTTATTCACTTTCTAAATTGTTTATATTTTGTTGCATAATCTTTTTTTCCTTTCTTGCCCTTGCCCTAGCCTTTTGGGGTGGATTCTTGCCTTTGCCCTAGCCTTTTGGGGTGGAGCCAAAAAAGGCAAGGCTGCCACTATTCACATGAATAGTGGCAGCCCTTGCTTGCCCTTGCCCTAGACTTAGCCCTTATGGGTGGAGATGCTCTTAAGGACATGTTCTGGGATTGAGATTAAGTTGGATTATGAGGTAAAATTGGATTGGAGAGGATAACACTAATCCAATGATATGTTGGATTGAAGTGTGTTATTTACATGGCCTAGCTAACAGGATTTTACATCGTCTCATCCAAGTTAAAACAAACTCTTTGGTGGGATTCATAATCCAATTAGATTTGAGCCTAGTAGTATTAGACATAATCAAATTCATGTTGTTTTAAAACCACCAAACATCTTACTAGGATTGTGAATCGCATCCAATCATATAATCTAACTCACCAACCGATCCCATAGTTTTATTTTCTCCTTACTTTGTATAGCAATTATATATGTGCACTACCATATATACTAAGATAGCTTCATTTTTTGGATTGTTATAACATTTTCTAGACAATTCCAAGGGTGGTGTGGCTAAGCCCCGATGGTAAACAAGTGGTGCAATGGCCTATCAAAGAATTAGAAACTTTGAGGGGGCTAAAGGTGGACATGAACAATCAAAATGTGGAACAGGGACAGCATGTTGAAGTAAAAGAAATAACTGCTGCTCAGGCCGACGTTGAAGTTACCTTCTCCTTGGGAAGTTTGGACAAAGCCGAGGAGTTTGACCCTAACTGGGCCAACCTCGATTCCCAAACAGTCTGCAGCCTAAGGCGTTCCGACATTCCAGGTGGCGTCGGTCCATTCGGGCTCTTGACACTGGCTTCTCAAAACCTGGACGAGTTTACTCCTGTCTTCTTTAGAGTTTTTAAAACTAAAGAGAATAAGCATAAGGTTCTCATGTGCTCTGATGCAAAAAGGTTTGTCTTCGTCCTACTCTTCTTAATTTATTATCGAAAAATGATAGTAATTACAGTATCTGATACATTGTTGATATTTGATAATGTCGTCCTGCTTCCATTTTACTGTACTCACCGTGGAACTATTCTTTTACATTCGTTAACCCTTAATTTTATTGGATGTGACAGTTCTTCATTGAGGCCGTTTAATGAAAAGTTGTATAGACCATCATTTGCTGGCTTCGTAGATGTAGATTTATCTGCTAATAAGAAGATTTCACTGAGGAGTTTGGTACGAAAACTTAATCCCTTCACTTCCTTTCTCAATTGGTAACTCATTTTTATTATTAATTCCTTAATTAATAACTAATAACTATTTTCGTTCTTCTTTTTTTTAAACTGCAGATTGATCATTCGGTTGTTGAAAGTTTCGGAGCTGGAGGAAAAACATGCATCACATCAAGGGTTTATCCCACACTAGCCATTAACGATGCTGCTCACTTGTTCGTCTTCAACAACGGAACTGAGCCTGTTACAGTCCAGACCCTCACCGCATGGAGTATGAATGCTCCTCAACAGATGAACCAAAACTTAGAATTCTGAGCATATATATAATAGAATGTTTAGGATTTAATCACAAGAAAATTCATGCTTGGTTAAATTAATCATGTACTTATTGTAAACATTTATTCATTGATGAAGTTGATTTTCGAATCAAAGAAAGAAAAAGGAGAAAGAATTAATGCATATTAAGGCACAAAATATATGTCTTTAAACGGTGTCGTTTGTCATAGTCTCATAGGAATAGGACAATAATATCCTGTTGTAAATCCATGATAAGATGTATGCCCACCATACCTACATATACTATGTAATACCTATCTCTCCAACTATACCTTTGTGATGTGATTGAACATACCGCTTATGTAGTAAACTATGTATTTTCTATGCCTATAAATAGACACACAAGACTAGATGAGTGGAAACTCATGGTTGAGCTCTTGAGAATTGTTCTTCCATAATTGTTTTCTCTTCTTCCAAAATCCTCTTAATTATATAATATATCCAACATATTTATTTTTCTTTTTGTATTGGTTACTTCCTATTCAATAATATATTGATGCCTACCCCCCCCCCACCCCGAAAAAAAAAAAAAACAATACTTGAATGCCAAAATAATTCCCCATAACTATTGTACTTGAAGAGCTCAAAGCAAAAGAGCTGCCTATATAATTTTCATACATTAGCCTTATAATTATGTTTGAAAATTATTTTAGCCTTAAATAATGACTAAAATAAACATGATGTTGAAAGTGTTATGTGCTAATCATGTGGTGGTAGTGGTGGTGGTGGAGTGGAGGTGGTGGTGAAAGAGGTGGTGGTGAAGGTAGTGATGGTGATGAAGGTGGAGTTGGTGGTTGTGGTAGTGGTGGTGGTGGGGATGGTAGTTGTGGAGGTGGAGGTGGTGGTGGTGATGTTGGTTGTGGAGGTGGTGGACGAGGTGGGGGTGGTGGAAGAGGTGGCGGTTATGGTGGTGGTGGTGGATGATGAGGATATGGTGGTGGTGGTGGTGGTGGTTGTGGTTATGGAGGTGGTGAATGTGGTGGTGGAGTTGGATGTGGAAGTGGAGGTGGTGTCATTTTTTAAAATGAATAATGGTATTTTGGGAATTAAAAAAATTCATTAAATGCTCATTTCTGCTTCTTTTGAAAGCAGCTTTGAAAAGCAACTCCGAGCCTGCTTTTGAAAGTTGCTGTCAAAAGGCCACTGCTTTTAAAATAATCATGATATTTTATTTTTAACAAACACCTTAAACTGTTTAACTTTAAAATGAAGTAGATTGTTGGCCAAACAAAACAATTCCAAACGGGACCTTAGTGTTTTTTTAATCATTATTAGTCTCCATATGACTGGAGGAGATTGAAATGTGTGAACAAATATATTAATTTTAAATTACTATAGTGGAGGAGATTGGTACTCCCAATATTGAAATACTTTTTTTGTGAGTGAGTGGGCGCACGTTTTCAAAAAAAACCGTCAACATGATCATCATTTTCACACCAAGAATAATTTGACAAAACTGAAATAAAATACAAATTAGTTGGAATTTTCGTGGAGAAAATATGACGTTTTTACTGAAACTAGTATAACGTGCATGATGGGGATTAAGGGGGGGCCCAAAATTGTTTATATTATATATGTATACTAGCATCAAATATAAAATATTTGAAAAATCTGGGGGACGTTTCACGAATTTGGAATAAATTTTTGATATTGATAGTGACCAAAGAGGAGAAGAGCATGAGAATTTCAAAAGGTAATTAAATTTATGAATTTTTCTTTACATTTGTTCATATCTAGGAAACTATGTTTTCAATTTCCAATAGCAACAAAACACATAGAGACCCATTATAGAAGCAAACAATAAATTCTTTCCTTAGGCTATTGGTTGCTGGAACGTCAGTTTGTAAATTTATAATTTCCTTCATGATATTAAATATCTAATCCAAATTTTTTTTTTATGGAGATATGTCCTACTATAATGCATACTCCCTTTTTTATTTGCTCATAGTGCACGAAGTAAAATTATTTTATTTGTTATTTTTTCGCAATTGGATAATAAGAAAGGACCTAGTTTATGGCCTAGGCCACCCGAAAGTCAGGGCCGCCCTGGTTGACACTACCCTCTTTTTTCCAACTCCATTAAGAGGGAAATCAACGTGGTAGGTAAAGTTGAAACTTCAACGATATAAAAGTAAATTAAAAAAATGAAAAATGAACACTTTTCCTTTCCTATATATATATATACACCATAGAAGAAATATATTTGCAATTCTGTCGAAAACTAGTCCTAGTGAGAAAATGGCAGCCAGTGTTGATGCAAGTTCAAGCTCATACGATCGCATGAAGGAAGTGAAGGAATTTGACGAGTCAAAGATGGGAGTCAAAGGCCTCTCCGATTCCGGCATCACTTCCATCCCTCAAATTTTTGTCCACGACCCTCAAACCCTATCCGACCTCAAACCCTCCTCTAACCCAACTGCCACTGTCATACCCACCATCGACCTCTCCCACATCACCTCCCCTGCCCACCGCCCCAATATCGTTGACCAGGTCAAAGCCGCAGCGAAAACCTTTGGCTTCTTCCAGGTCACCAACCACGGGGTGCCCGTCTCGGTCCTAGACGAGACGGTCGACGCGGTCAAAGCCTTCCACGAGCAGTCCCATGAGCTGAAAGCCAAGTACTACAAGCGAGATGAAGGAAAGGGAGTTATGTATGCAAGCAACAACGACTTGTACCGTACAACCGCCGCCAGCTGGCACGACTCGCTGCAGATGTGGATGGGGCCGGAGCCGCCCAACGTGGAGGAGATCCCGGAGGTGTGCAGGGAAGGGTTAGTTGCATGGGATTTGCATGCAACCAAGGTGGCTGATGACGTTATGGAGTTGCTCTCGGAAGGGTTAGGGTTGGAGCGTGGGAGGTTTAAGGAGCTGACGTTTTCGGATTCAAGGGCGCTTGTAGGGCACTGCTATCCTTACTGTCCTCAGCCTGATCTGACGGTGGGGATTAAGGCCCATACGGATCCCGGGATCGTGACGGTTCTGTTGCAAAACCATGTGCCGGGGTTGCAGGTTAGGCATGAGAATGAGTGGCTGGATGTAAAGCCTGTGCCTGGTGGTTTGATCATTAACGTTGGAGATTTTCTTCAGGTAAATTCAACTCTAAATCTAATATTTTGATTAAATTTTAATTGATAGTCTAACAACATAACACTAATACACCGATGCGCCATGTCTATCTAGTGTGGGGTTATAATATGGTTCGTACTTGCGGTATGGGATACACACCATAATTTTATTTTATTTTTCTTTTTTCTTTTTTCTGTTCTTCGTTTTTTGAAAATAATTTGATATGCAAGTTGGGTGGAGGATCGATAGCCGACATTATAAAATAATAACAAGCAATAAGTGGAGGTCTCTTTCTTATTAAAAGTAATAATAATAAACGTTTAAACTTTTGTTTTGTTATCTATATATATAAAGCAAAAGGCAGAGAATGGTGAAACATTCAAAATACCAAAAAATGCCCTTGGTTAATGCACACATTAAGAATTGAAATTATTAATTAATTGAGGATAATATGGTAAATTCACACTTTTTCATATTAAAAAAATTTAAAATTAAAAGAAAAATCAGATAATGGATCCTCTTTTTAAGGAACACAACTACCCATTATCTTTTTTTAATTCTAAAATATTTTTTTTTTTATTAGAGGCTAGTTTCAATAAAGCAGAAAGGTGAAGGGAATATCTTAGACCAAATCTTTCCTTTCTTGTTTAAAATAATAAGTAAAATGGATTTCCAATTAATTAACTTTCTCATGGTAACTATATTTTGTCAAAATTTGGTTTGATCTTTTTTTTGTTGTCCAAAGAAGACTTTGTGTGTTTGTGTGCGAGGCTGCAGATAATCTCAAATGGGGAGTATAAAAGTGTGCAGCACAGAGTGCTGGCCAACTCCATGAAGGAATCTCGGATTTCAATTGTGATATTTTTCAACCTAGCCAAATGGAGGGAAGATGGTTACTGTGGCCCTCTCCCAGAGCTTCTGTCACCTCACAACCCACCAATTTATCGAGACTTCACGCCCCAAGAATTCCTTGAAAATTTCTATGGTAAAGGAATAGATACCAAGTCTCTGATTCAGAAAATCACAATACGAAACTGATATCCATCTATCTCTTTCCATCATGATATTAAACTATTCATTCGTGTGATATGTGTAATTGTAGTGTGATACCGTAATACGATCACATGTATAACCACGTTATCCCACCATGATTCCATTTCCTAAGTTTCCTCCATGATATTTAACTATTCCTTCACGGGTAACGGCATTCTACCAATATTAATATATGTATCCTTTATTATTCTATTAACAATATCGCGTTGGAAGGGCCTGTGCTTTTCCTTCCTGGTATTTTGAGGCCCATCCATTTGCAATGGTTTAAGTTTCTAATAGATCATGCAGAATATGTAACAAAGGAAAAAAGAGATTTTCTATTTAAACCCCGTACTTCTCTTTGTTTATCTCAATACTAAAAGAGATTTTCTATTTAAACCCCATACTTCTCTTTGTTCACCCCATGTTCTAAGTTCACTCCAACTTCTAATTTACATTTTCACAATTTCTAAGAAAACCCCACTATCTTCCCAAACTACCCTTAAATACACCCCAAGCTGAAAAAATAAGAAATAAAAGAGTTTTTCTATTTAAACCCTACACTTTCCTTCGTTCACCTCAATACTTAAATCATTAAACAATATTTGTAGTGTACATGAGATTTTGTTGTTTTCACAAGGCTGTTTTTATCATGTGATTAAAAAGGTTAACTAATCAGACAAAGATGCTTGTGGTAGGGTTCAAACCTCAAACCACTGACATGCAAGTTAAGACCCTTTTTTACGAGACTAAACTCCATTAGGAATAGGATGTAGAGGAGTTTGTATTTTTCTAAAACTTAATATGAAGAGTAGTGGGGTGTGTGGGGTGTGTGTATAGATAGATGTACTAGGGTTAAATATTAAGTTGAATGACCTTTT